ACTGTCTTAGACATAGTCTGGAGCCTGGGTATTGGCTAGGAAGAAAGATATTCCAATCACGACAGCTCTGATGTTGGCTAACGTCGTACTATATATGGCTAAATTAGTTCTATAAAAGTATTGAGTGGTGGTAATGAAGTCGAGAACAAACTCAGACCACACCAGCCTATTATTTCTTTCTTACAAAGTCAATTTGCTAGCATCTCTTAACATTATATCAAACTAATTGAGTAATTTCACCAGCCAAGTTCAATCGCAGACTACACGAGTTGATATCTTTAATGGAAAAACCTAGAAAATTAACTGGATGTCAAGACGTGATTAGTTTGTTAACGCTCCAGATGTGCCACGAACGACTTAAACATCGCTAAATTATCTTCATCTCAAGTCATTGTTATTCTCCCAGTGTAACCCGATTATACAGATTTCAGGACAGGATAATCCCCTAATTCTATTAAACTCTTCTTAGTGTAGAATATTCTCTTCTTCAAACTCTGTCCCCTGTCCAATGAATCCTTTTCGCCCATGCGTCCTAAATTGGAAACTTAAATCAGATACGACTTGATGTTTTTCCGTTCTATGCAATATTTTCGTTATCGATTCTTCCCGCCTGTCCAGTAAGTTTACTTACTTTGCTTTCCATGTAAGAACCATACGAAGTTTCGTACGGCCCAAGTCTTATCTGGAAACTTAAGTAAGAGTTGTTTAATGAGTTCGGTGAATTAATTCTGGAAAGTCTTTCGTAGAATATTCTCTTTATCAACTTTTCGTGACTGTCCAGTAAGTTCGTTTACTTTGCTTATAAGCAAATATAGAAAGTTGAATTAGATTCTATTACCCAGGACATGAGTCTCGGGAAATTTGTTTCCAATGTTCATTACTCCGACTTGCCTCAAACGCTGTGCACGTTAAAGACCCCTCGAAGAACAGATGCAATTACCAAAGCATAATTATTCACAATGTCAATCTGCTACGGACTGCGTTTTTTGCCTTGACTGTAAAAGCCACCTTTTATTGTATCGAATACGGCCAATCGGAGCCCTCGACAGAAAAACTGTATACATTACGCCTTATTACAAACAGAGTTTGTGTCGCAGGCTCTGATTGACTGTATTCGCTAACGTACAATCCAATCAAATCACCGCATTCACAACCCTCCATGATACAAGAAAGGTGGCTATTGTAAGTATAAGACATAATGGCTTCACATTGTGAAGATGTTGCCGCCCATGTGTATCTCAATGTACACCATGCCTGTTAGAGCCCAATAGGACATTAAACTCCATTTCATTATTTTGTCCTTGAATTGAAATAAAGTAAAAAATAACTTCCACTTGTAACCTTCATGACGAAGGTCGCATCTTTAACTGTCAAATACCAGAGATAACTACACAATTATACCAACATTATTCCATATTTTGTTGTTTGATGGTTTTGAAATCTAATCAAGAAGCAATTTCCCACTTGAATAAAAGAGTTGTTATTATGGTAAATCATCGATTGAGGACTAATATCATTTGCTTTTGAAATGAGTTGCTGTAATTGTTTGGTAGAGGTTGTTGGCTATAACAGGTTGTAGAGCAGTTGTTTTCAACCCGTTTTAAATATGCCCTCAAACCCTATAACCATGCAAACGATGTACCCAGAACACACAGTGGCGGTGCCAGTCAGGGTGCAGGGTGGGGGAGGGGGACGTTATTTGGCCCCTTAGAAAAAGTGTTTTCACCCCCAATTGTTCCCCCACTTTATATTTACCAAATCTGAAAATATGATTTTTATTCGTTTTTGCCCTTATATATTTGTCGAAATGAACCAAATCAATGACATTTTTTGAAAAAAATTTGTGAGTCCCCTCTTAGACGCTCCATGAAAGGCTTACACAAAGTTGCCGGATTTTGAAATCATCCTGGACTGTTGTCTCCCATTGCCACAACCATTTCCTTCTGTTTGTCCAATGGGAAATTTAAAACAAACTCGTAATGCATATAACCATTATTCTATTAATTATGAGAAATTTAAATATTACAATTACCATAAAGTGAAATATATTTGATAAGGTATACAGGTATAGCAAAAATATTTAAAACATAAACACGAGCCGTCCAGTTTATTTTTGATGCAGAATCGAGTAATTACTAAGAATGGTAACATCATGCAATAAGTAATGATTGTTCCCATATTAAAATACCATATAGCATAACGATTAGTAAAAGTTAAGGTGACAAAAACAAAAAATACACTGTGATTATGTGCTCGGATATCATTAGAAGTGCTGATCAAATATAATGCATTATGATTATTTTCTAGGATATCATTATGGATGTTTATTTTGACAGTTTTAATAACAAAGTGAGACACTGACACTGTTTAATAATAACATTATATAATTATATTTATATAATATAGCTGTATAATTGATGTATTGAGCATTTTAACAATGAATTTTTTTTATTATTATAAAAAAAAATATAATGCATTATGTTTATATTCTTGGATATCATTTTTAATAACAAAGTGAGATGGTGGACATTGTTTAAGAATAAAATAATATAATAATAATGCATTATGATTTTAATCTAGGATATCATTATGGATGTGTATTTTGAGAGTTTTAATGACAAAAAAAAACATTCTAAAAAAATATGTATTATTGTCATACATATATTCTAGGATATCATTATGGGTGATTATTTTTTTGACATTACAATAACAAAGTAAGACACTATTTGTAAATGGAATATTTTGCCCTAATTTGTAAATGGTACATTAAACGCTAATTTGTAAATGGAAAATTAAACCACAGTTTGTAAAAGGAATATTTAAACCGTATTAAATTCTTTATTGTGAAAAATACACTGAACTCTAGTTTGTAAATGATACATTAAACCCTAGTTTGTAAGTAATACATTAAACTCTAGTTTGTGAGTGATACATTAAACCCTCGCTTGTAAGTGATACATTAAACCCTAGTTTGTAAGTGATACATTAAACCCTAGCTTGCAAGTGATACATTAATTCTTAGCCTGTTAGTAATACATTAAACCCTAGTTTGTAAGTGATACATTAATTCTTAGCCTGTAAGTGATACATTAAACCCTAGTTTGTAAGTGATACATTAATTCCTAGCTTGTAAGTGATACATTAAACCCTAGTTTGTAAGTGATACATTAAACCCTAGTTTGTAAGTGAAACATTAATTCTTAGCTTGTAAGTGATACATTAAACCCTAGCTTGTAAGTGAAACATTAAACCCTAGTTTGTAAGTGATACATTAAACCCTAGTTTGTAAGTGATACATTAAACCCTAGTTTGTAAGTGAAACATTAAACCCTAGTTTGTAAGTGAAACATTAAACCCTAGTTTGTAAGTGATACATTAAACCCTAGTTTGTAAGTGATACATTAAACCCTAGTTTGTAAGTGATATATTAATGTGAATTGAACATAAGCCAACGTTGAACGTTGATATACATGTAGTGTATAATAGTTCTAAAATGATGCTTTAGCTGCTGTGGCACTGGGTCTATTTCTCCACTTATCTTCCACCATTTTGAAAACCATATCCTTTTGTCCTTCCGTCAGACCATTAAGCTTACCAATGTAATTTGATTTCACAGTGCCTGTTTTCATTAGCCCAATTGGGTCCAGAAGAATATAACATTCATTTCATTTTTCTATGTCGCAAAATACCTTGGCAGCTGGCATTTAGTCTTAACACTGCTATAGTTGAACATGATAATTTTGAATGCTGTGGTTTAAATAAGGGTCTATACGTAAACTAACGATGGATCAAGGAAATAGCGTTAATGTTTTCTTATTCAGTGAACACTTTGTTGGTGTATTTCGGATTATACAGTATGCTTTAATTTCTTTACCTACCTTTACTTTCGTTTTCTATCAATTTCATTTAACAAAAGGGAGCCAACTTGTATAAGATTGTTTCAATCAGACTTTGGTTAAATTCTATGAGTCTTCTCAGAAATATCTCAGAGACATCTACGATTCATTTTGTGAACCCGACAACACTGCTAGAGACCTCATACAACTAATGATGTTGTTTATTTGGTCAAACCATTTCTTATCAAAGAGGACAAACAGTTTGGGCAATAGTAGACTTTGAAAAGAAAGAAATTAAGTCGAATTATGTTTTTTTTTCAATTTGTGAAAGAAATGGAGTTTTACGTCGTTATCAATATGAAAAAGTCTATGAAGTTCACAGCCTGTATCATATATAATTTATTATCTCTTTATCTTTATTTTTACGTTTGTTGTCTCTTCGGATTTCAAGATTTATTTAGTCGCTGACGCCCAGACTAAACCTTCTACGACGAGGATATAGTCTGGGAGTTTTAATGAATATTCTGCTACGACTCGACCAATTACAAAGATTTTAAGTAACTTGGCCAGGCCATTGAATAAAACTTACAAACAGTATGCAGAAACATGACAAGATAGTTATGAGCCGCCATCTGAAATATTATCATCTCAATTGTTGTTGTTTGTATTGTGACCAAAACCCTTAGATGTCATTATCATTTATTTCAGAATATAATTTGTCAATGTTAGTGTTACTATATATATATATAAGTCCAGCTAAAATGTAAATGTACATGTATGTACCGAATAACAAAATAGTCCAACCTTCGTTGATTATGGCTATATTTTAATCAATGCAAGTTTTGTAAAGAACAAATATTCAGGGCAATACATCAACACATAGAAAACTATTGGCGAGACGGATGACAGACCTATCATGGTGAGGTCAATTATAACAGACCTGTCATATGGTGAGGTCATTCTCATATGTTAGGTCAATGATGACAGACCTATCATGGTGAGGCCAATTACAACAGACCTGTCATATGTCGGGGAGGTCAATGATGACAGGTCTGTCATAGGGTTAGGCGGTCATTAGTGACAGATCTATCATATGGTTAGGTCAATGATGAAAGATCTATCATTATGGTGACGTCCATGTTCACAGAAATATCATTATGGTTGTTTATTTTAACAGTTTTAATAACAAGATGAGATGGTAGACAATGTTTAAGTTTTAAAAATTTCATGCATTATGTTTATATCCTAGGATATCATTGTGTGTGTTGATTTTGACAGTGTTTTTGACCATTTATTATATGAAAGTTCATATACATATAGTTTATAAATACAATAGTTCTAAAATGATGCTTTAGCTGCTGTGGCACTGGGTCTATTTCTCCACTTATCTTCCACCATTTTGACAACCATATCCTTTTGTCCTCCCGTCAGACCATTAAGTTTACCAACGTAATTTTTCTTGGCTTGCTCTGAAGCATCAGTAATCTGGTTATTGGGATTATTTATATATGGAGCCAGGAGTTGCTTCCCTCCAGCCCAAGATATTGTTGTACGTGAAAACATGGCTATAATCATACAGCCAACACTAAAAATATCAACAGCCTTGGTAATATTTCCAAGTTGGACTTCTGGTGCAGTGTAGTAGGGTGGTCCTAAACCTTTCTGACCCTTAAGATCGTAATATTCGGAGTCATTAGATAAGCTCCATATACGAGCAAGACCAAAATCAGCAAGCTTCAACGTGTTACCCTGCATCATAACATTATCAGGTTTGATATCTCTATGTAGTACTCTGTTTGAATGGAGGTATTCCACTCCATACAAAACTTGCCTAATACATCGTATCAATTCTGAGCTATTCGGATTTTGACGTAACACGTAATCATTCAAATTTCCCCCACTACAATACTCAAGTACAATCCACAAATATCCCTCATCTGAAAAGCTATCTATATATTTGACCACATTAATATGAGATAGACCCATGTGTGAACGAACTTCTTTTATAGTTGCCGAATCATTCACCACCATTTTCTTAATGGCGTAGGTTTTTCCATCTTTATTACATTTAAAGACTTCACCAAAACAACCACTCCCAAGCTTTTCATCGATTGTATAGCCACGTATCTCTCTGAAAGAATTTGAATATGACGGACATTATTGCAGTGATAACCTGTGATATTCATTAAGCTACTATTTGGTCTTTTTGTTTTCATGTGGTGCCATGCAGACAGGGGTTTCAAATAGTGGACAGGCTGTCTCATTGGGGGAACATCTCTCGAGGTTGAATTTGAAATACTTCTCCCATGGAGCGTCTGAGAGGGTTCTCCACAAGAAATATTTTGAAAAGAAAAACTTGGTGCAGTCTGACGCATATTTTAAGGCAGGAATGTATACAAAAACATATTTCAAAATTTGTTAGAAATGAAGTTGGGGTGCAATTTGGAGTAAAAACCATATTTCTAGGCCCTATACCCTCATTGACGCCGTGACTGTGGCGTGAGATGTATGTGTTTCCTGTACATGTAATTATAAAACAAATCGCAAAAGTACAAATGTTATAAGTACATATGTTCGCCGCATATACAAGTTTGAATTGAAATGAATTGGAGGCCACGCACTTGAGGCGGTGCTGCAAAGCAGAGGTATTGTCATCCCCCACCTCTAAATAACCCATCGAATGTTGGAATGGATAATTGCATAATATCTTATCCGACATTCGATTTAATCGAGTAACTAAGTTCTAAGTTAGCAAGCAAGAGTCCAACTCGCTATGAAAACCCGATTCCTGCACAGCTATTTGTTCAATGAAACTATAATAAACAAAATATATCGCATCTCTATATAAATTAAGAAACTTACTTCGATTCACCAGCACCCATTTTAGAATTACTTCTTTTTGTGTCGTATTTTTATAGCGTTTGACAAATTTCATCGAAAATCTTCAAATCTGGTTTTTCCATCTTTTAAATTAAAGATGACTCACATTACGTGGAAACTTTTATATTGGTCGAAAGATGCAGACTGCCTCGGATTGAAATTTCATCGAAAATCATATTCTCCATAAATCTTCAAACTGGTTTTCCCATCTTTATCAAGTTGATTTTAAAAAAAAAAGATAAATAGTTAACATTCAATTCAATTGAAATGCAAACATGATAAGAACTGGCGTAATGTCCTCATTCATCTCTATGTTAAAGTCCTTTTCTGTTTATCCAGGCTGTACATACATGGACATTTATGATTGGTTAAAACTCTTAATTATATGCAATAAGAACATAATGGTATGATTAAGAATACATGATAATTCATTAGAAACACCAATTATTCTAATAGTTTGCTTAATGGATACTTAAAAATAAGGAAAACCTTTCTCCATTATAAGAAATGTTACCACTTCAAAAATATATCGGGTTTGAAACATTGACACGATGTGTCATAAAAAAAAATTACCATTAACTTAAAAAATAGAGATATGATCTGATTAGATTGTATGCTGATAGTTTTTCTTACCCACTTTTACTTTCGATTTTTATCAATTTCATGTAACCAAAATGGTTAAATTCTATGATTCTTCTTCGAAATTTCTTCGATTCTTTTGGTGAACCCGAAAATACTGCTAGAGACCTCACACAACTAATGATGTTGTTTATGTGGTTAATATATTTCTTATCAAAGAGGACAAACCGTTTGGGCAATAGTAGACTTTGAAAAGAAAGAAATTAAGTCGAATTAAGTTATTTTTCAATTTGTGAAACGAATAGAGTTTTACGTCCTCATCAATATGAAAAAGTCTATGAAATTCACAGCCTGTGTCATATATCATCTTTAAATTTTTATTTTTACATTTCTTCGGCATTCAAGATTTATTCAACTTTTTCTACTTTCAATTTCACTGCCAAAGATATAATCACCATTAAAAAAATATACAAGAGCAATGAAAGCTGCCAAGACAGTAGCCAACAAACATGAAAAAATAACTGTGAGCCGCCATCTGAAATGTAATCCAATCTCAATGGTTATTATAGATTTGTGTACACATATTAATCATATGCATTTCGCTTCTTTATACTTTTTCTTTAGGTATAATTTATGCAAGAACCTGGATCACGTGATTGGGTTTCGGGGAAGGGAGGGTTTGATTCTCCCAAATGTACAGGCCTAGGGTGGAGCAGACACTTTATTTAGAAATTAGGATTAAGGGTCTTGATATTGGGTTTTCTTCTGTTCTTATTCTGATCTGAAATTAGAAAAAATAACTCGCCCGATGGGCGAGAAGTATAGTATCTGTTATGTACTGATTGTTTTTAGTTTACTATGGACAATATTATCATTTAAGTTCTTATTTTTTGAATATGCAACTATTATTTTCTGCTTATAGACATGGGGGAATTTCTCTTGAAGGCTCTTATAGTGGGCATGAACTACCTTGCTTGCTCGATTGCTGGTTGTATTAAACGGGACAACAAAGGGTGCTATGCCTACATTATGATGAATATTTAGTCCTATAGGTCTTGCTGTATTCAATGTCTCAATCCAATGAGCCTCCCTAGATTGACGGAATTTGGTAGTTTCATCTTCGGGCAAGTCAATTTCTATACGCTCAATTGGGATTAGGGTGAGATCGTCTATTGAATGGTCGTCGAGGTTGAAATGATTAGAAACAGGCTTGTCTTTCTTTAATTTGATGTCTGACCTATGAGCATTAAAGCGAGTTCGTAAATTATTCTTAGTTTCTCCTACATATTGTTTGGGGTATTTCTTGCATGAAATTAGATATATTACATTCGAATGTTCACATGTTAGATGTTCCTGGATCGGGTACCTTTTATTCGTAGAGTTGCTTACAAAATAACGAGTTTCTGATATAAAGGGACATGTTTTGCATCTACTGGACAAACATGGAGCACTTCTTAAACCTGGAGGTACTTCGGCATAAAGTCTGTTTTTAGCTGCTATCTGTGCTAAGGTGGAATTTTTTATGTTTCGTAAAAATCGTTTAGAGTACCCACGCTCTTTCAGTTTTGAGAAAACAATCGTACAGGCTTAGTTGAAATCAGAAGATCTTGTACAAATTCGATGAAATCGTAAAACTTGTGACTTAATTATACCAGAAAAGGTATGTTTTGGGTGAAAGGAGCTCTTGTGCAAGAGTTGATGAGTATCAGTTTCTTTGAAATACACTTTAATATCCAGTTTATTTGTTTCTGCTATGGAATTTCTGCTATGTGGTATCGAGAAAGTCTATGCTTTTGTCACTCACGTTTGCGGTTAGTTGGATAGAAGGATGGTGGTTGTTGAGAATTTCAAAGAATTCCCAAAACTGTTCGATAGAATAAGTCCAAACCATAAAAATGTCATCCAAAAAGCGTCCGTAAAAAAGTGGGTCAAGTGGACAGAGGGGCAACACCTCACGTTCCCACTCTGCCATGAAAAGGTTTGCGTACGAAGGGGCGAATCGTTTGCCCATTGCTGTCCCTGAAGTTTGTAAATATGTTTTACCATTAAATGTGAAATCGTTTCGGCTAAGACAAATCTCTAAAAGCTGTAGAATTGCATCGTCGGGTCTGTTTGGATCTGGGTTTCTATTAAAAGCTTTACGAACTGCCGTTAAACCAGTAGTGTTATCGATATTGGTATACATAGAAGAAACGTCGATAGAAATTAAAATAGCATTAGAGGGAACTCGAAGATTGTTTATTTTATTGACAAAATCGGTTGTGTCTTTAAGGTAGGCGCGATGTTGGCATGCTAGAGGTAGTAAGAAATGATCAATGTATTCTGACACTGCATATGACTCACTACCACAGTCAGATATAATCGGGCGGCCTTTAGGGATTTTATTCGAGATAAACCACTCCTTGGTTGGATTCTTATGGATTTTAGGCAAAGTGTACAAATGTTTCTCGCGACAATCAGGTTTGGCAGACAGATAGTCATATTGTTTCTGTTTGAGATAACTAGTTTTGACTAAATCGGCAAGAATATTATTAATCATGTTAGCAGTTTCTTTGAAAATTGGTTTCGGTAAAATGGCATAATGTTTAGGATTATTCAGTTGATTCTCTGCTTCTGAAACGTAATCCTCCCTATTCAGAATGACACAACATGAACCTTTGTCACTCTTTTTAATAACAATGCTATCGTCTTTCTTAAGTAAGTTTAACGCTTCACGTTCCACTCGTGTGAGATTAGGCTTTTCGTGTGTTATGGAAAGGTTCACTGTTTGGCTATTCATACTAGCAAATGTTTTCAAAATTTCAGGATGGATGGCGGCCTGAGGGGGTGTCCACGTGGATTTAGGAATAAACATTGTTCTAGCACCACGTGGGGGGTGGTTTCGAAAAAAATATGTGCAGCTAAGATTTCGTTGAAATCGTTCAATGGATGGTCGGAGATAATCCAAGTTAGCTATCTTTGGTGTCGGAATAAACTTAAGTCCACGGTCTAAGATTGAATGCTGAAGGGGTGTGAGAATTTTGCGGCTCAAGTTAACTACAGTTTGGCCTAGCGGTGGCCTCTCAGTATTTTTATCCCCAGTAATTAGTTTAAAGACGTACTCGATGCTTGAAGCTGGTGTATCCAAAACAAATAAATGCTGTTTGCTGTTTCTGGAGACCAATGAAGATTATCAACTGTTTCGAATTCTTCTTCGTAGGGTGGTAAGATTGTTGCGCTGTTGATACTGGACTCCATCATCATGTTGTTGAGGGTGCTGAGGTTCTGTTGTGCTTTCTTCGAGATTTTATTTGAAATGGGTATACATGTGAAGAGGATCTTGGAGTTTGGGAAGGTTTTGTTGGCTGTGGCGATTAATTTCTGGGCTTGGTTAAAGGAGGTCGTTGGTATCTGATCACGGTTGTTGAGGCCTACATGAAGAATAATGGTAGTAGGTTTGGGATCATGGTCGTATGATTCCAGGATTGACTGTATGTGATGGATTTGGGCACCGGGGTAAGAATGTATTTCGGTGTCTGAA